CCATCAGCCCAGAGCCCGACGCGGGGCTCGAACTCACGGACCGCGAGATCATGACCTGGCTGAAGTCGGACGCTTAACCGACTGCGCCACCCAGGCGCCCCGACACTGTGATTTTTAAGAGTTTTATAACGTCTCAATGAATGGGTGAATCATAGTTTTCTTAAGCATTTTCCTTTCTACGAGAAGTCTACATTGACTCTGGTTTTTTCACTATTAAGAGCAGCACTGCAGTGAACATTATTGCAAGTAGATGTTTGGCACCCCTTCTGTAGGATAGATTCCTTAAAGTGGAATTGTCGGCCCACAGGGAGTATGTATCAAATTGTCCAATAGAAGAATTTAGGGGGGCACCTGGGTGGCTCAGTTGGTTGGGCGTCCGACTCTTGATTTTGGCTCAGGTCATGGTCTCAGGGTTGTGGGATCGAGCCCTGAGTCAGGCTCCACGCTGAGCGTGAAGCCTGCTCAAGATTCTGTCCCTCTCCCCTTCTTGCACTCGCTTTGTCTCTCTCTAAAACAAAAATAAAAATCAGCTTGTAAGAAGGTAAGTTTTATACGATGTGGGGCTTTCTTCCCCACAATTTTTAAAAACTAAACACAGAAAAGAACGTGTGTTGTTGCGAAGGGTTGATGCAGAATTGGAAACTGTCTGGGAGAGGGGAGGTGGGTGGGCTGCAGGAAGACACGAGGGGCCGTGTAAGCCATTTCAAGCAGCCAGAACTTTATTCTTCAGGCCGTGGGGGGCATTTGGACGGTTTCAAACAAGGAGATAAATCGAGCCCATCTGTATTCTGGAATATTCACTCAGGCACAAAGTGGGAGATCTGCTGGGGCCGACGTGACTGAGGGTGGAGGGTAGAATAGATGTGAGGAGATCAGCGAGACGTGAAATCATACTGAATTACTGTAGTAGCGAGTGAGGAGTAAATTTGCTAGCGTTTAGGAAGTAGAATGGAACGAGCCGGTTGGAGGCGGAAAGAAGCAGGAAGGGGTCCGGGATGACTCTGGGTTGAGATGGCTTAGTTGTTTCGGTGGAGAGCCGTGCCACGAACTAAGGCACGAAATACATCCTAGGAGGGAAAGGACTGAGATGGAAAACCAAACGAGCTACATTTCGAATGTTTTATTTGGGGTGTATCCAAATACACATATTCAGTAGGCCTCTGTGTGAGTGGGCTTAAAGCCTGGAAGAAAGGCCCAACTAAAGACAGATTAGGAAGTGTTTTAGGGTAGAAACAGTAGCAAAAAATATGGCCTAGAGGCCACGTGTTTATTATTGACATGTGACCCGGAGCGTCAGCTGCTGTGTGGTCAGGAAGAAGACTGAGGACCTTTCTGGGCAGCTGGGGCCAAGGAGCAGTCAGAACGGGGTCACGGAGCTGTGGCGTCGGGAGTGTGGCTTCGGAAGGAAAGGTTGACGTGGGTGGTAGGTGTTCCAGAGATACCACCGGATGGGCTGAGACCCAACCTCTGTGGGACTTCGGAATTAGGTTCCTCGTCGTGAACAGCTGTGAGCGGAAATGAGGTTTCAGCGAGCGGGAGGAGGACCGTGAGGTGACAAACCAGAGACCATGCCGCAGCCTGATTGTGCTTTAGGAGGAGGGGACGGTGCCTCCTGCCGGGCGCCCGCTGAGCGTCAGGCCCTGGGCCGCCTCAGACACATGAGAGGTCTCGTCATCCTGCCCGACCTTTCTTTTCGTTACGTGTAGATTTTTCTGCCCACGGCCCTCTTGACTTGTGTGTGCCACGTGCGTGGTGTGGGAGGACCTCGTGGCCCAGGGAGGAAAGGGGTCCCCTTTGAGTCCTCGTGACAGAAGTCTTATTCTTTAGCCCTTAGGCATGTGAGGGGGGTGCCGGTCGGTGGGCTTTCTGTCGCCTGGCGCCCTCCGTCCCGGGAACCGAGCCCTTGCCTCACCCTCCTTCACCACCAGGCCCGGTACGAGAGCCAGCGGGTCCAGCTGGAGTCGGACCTGGCCGTGCGGCTGGAGCAGCGGGTGACGGAGCGGCTGGCTCAGGCCCAGGAGAGCAGCCTGCGGCAGGTGGCCTCACTGCGGGAACATCACAGGTGCGTGGCCCTCACCGGGTCCCCTGGTGGGCGACGTCACACGTCCATGTCCCCTGCGGTCCCTCTGCTGGCTCCGAGCCTGCTGGCTGCCATCGGGCCCGGACCGCGTGTGTCCGGGGCAGAGCTGCCGTCGGGTGTGCGGGGAGGGCGTGGGGGCCCATAACTGACGGGTGCGACAGATCTCCGGCCCCCTGGCCTTGGTGGGGACAGTGCCGAGCTGTGACCTGTGCCGTCTCCAGAGCTGCCCCGAGGCCTCGAACCTCGTCCTGTGCCAGATCCCTTCTCCCCTCCTGGATTTTTCTGGAAATGCCTCTTCAGTGAATCACCGTCCCGTAAATCTTCGCCGCGGCATCTGCTCCCGGGGTCCCCGTCCCAACACGCCAGCTCTGTCCTTCCCCCTTTCCCGAACCCACCATGCCTCGGCCGGGCCGGCCGGCTCTCGGCCTGTCACACGCACGCCTTCCGCCTTTTCTCCCTTGATGGCGTTCGTCTCCAGACTCAGTCCTCCTTCCTCCCCCTCGTCTCCCCAGGAAGCAGCTGCAGGACCTGAGTGGACAGCACCAGCAGGAGCTGTCCGCCCAGCTGGCTCAGTTCAAGGTGGAAATGGCGGAGCGCGAGGAGAGGCAGCAGCAGGTGGCGCAGGACTAC